TGCGGTATAAAGTAAATTATTTGACATTGAAATGAATGCATATCTGAATTATTTGGAAAGCTTTGAACACTATACATTGCTTGCAATTGGGTTTTTGTTGTTGGTTATAACAAATAATTGTTTATATTTTATTGTTAAATTACAAAAACGTATTTAGATTAATGTATACGCATATATATTCTGGTTTTTAAATAAACTGTTCTTGTGCTTGGAAACTAAGTTCAAAATAATTCTCATTTAAAGCTTTTAAACGTTGCGACACCCGTTTAAACGGAACAACAACAAACAGAGCGAAACAAACTAAATAAATGTCGGCTTACTGTCATAAATGGTATGGCTCTTAACAAGGAATTGTGCGTGTTTTTTGGGTATTGTTAAACAACAATGGCTAAAAACAATTACAGTAATAAATTGCTTAAGTTTTGTGCATAATTTCAACTTCTGGCTTCTTTGTTGGTCGGTGTATTTGAGGGTTCTTTGTATGTGTATGTGTGTGTTTGTGTGTGTGTGTATTTGTTAAACAATTTCACATTTTCAAAAATTCGTACACTTTCAGCTTAAATACTATAGATACTAGAACGTATGGCCTACACATATCAATAGCAATATAAAACTATGTACCGTGGCTATGTATTCAAAGTTTACAATCAGGGCTGCCATATTTTTGGATATATATATATAACTGTATATATACGTAGAGTTGGACAATAAATATTGCGCGTTCGCATGTCTATGGGCTGATCTAAAACTGCAGTTGCTCGAAGCAACACCACAAACAACTCACGGACATTGACAGACATTGACTGTCACCGTCTAGGCCTCTGTTTCGGCACCCTTTAAGCGAAGCCGCGCGAAATCCTCAAAGATGATATCATCGTCTTGAGCCTCATCGTCGTCCAGCTGTATGAGGTTCGTGGTGGTGGGCACATCGTTTGGCGTTTGTGTTGAGGAAGCCGCGGCGCCTGCATCGACTGCATCGCCCAGGCTAAGCAGCGGCGCTGCCAGGCTGGCGCGCGGGGAGCGGTCGCCCAGAATCGGTTGCTCCTCTTCCTCGGGCTTGGGATGCATCAGCGTAAATGGCAGCTCGGCAACCAAATCTCCTCCCAACAGTGGCGAGCCAATTAGTAGCTTCACCTTGACCTTGTAATGCACCAATATGCCCAAGCTTTCGCGCTGTGCAGGATTGGTAATTAGCGTACTTGACGCCAGATTTGTATCCTCATGCTTAAGCTGACCATCCAGCGCCAGCCCCCATTTGTCCTTGTTATTCGCTAGCAGGGGGCATAACTCAAACACCTTGGAGAGCGTAAAGCCAGGTGCCACATTGCAGCCATCCTCCGACTCAATCTCGGCCACCACAGATTTGTATTGGGCCGTCGAGAAGAGGCATATGTCGGCAAATTGGCGTACACACACCTTTATTTTTTTGACCGTGCGATTGGAATTATTGGCCACATGCACATTGACTGATATCTTCTCGCCATGATGATACAGCTCCTTATCCAGACTTGCCTCCAAGTGTATTTTATTGGGCTTCATCATGAACTCCTTGCTCACCTCAATCGAGGGCTGCTCTCCGGCCTTGGATGGTGCATACATCACCTTCCGAATCGTCAAACGCACCGAATTGCGTTTGTGGGGCTTATCCTCGATGTGTTCGCCTATCGTTAGATAAATACACAAACAGCATTAGCTTTGGGCGCAACTTATATTTATAACATATTAACATATTTAACACATACACAAACAAATCAATATGCATAGTTAGGCATATTTGGCTTGGGGGTGTGTCGAGCTCCGTTTTGTGTGCGTCACAATTTCAAAAGAGCTTAGCAACCAGATGATTCACTGACTTAACTATAAACATATGGGATGATTTCAGGGAATGTTTTAAAAATAAACGACTCATTGCCGATACACCATTATCTCTCGGTACTAGGAAGCTGCTTAAAAATATTCACATATTTGCCTCAATTTTGAATGTGAAAAAAAGCAACAAAAATTAAAATACTTTCCATTTTCAGCTCATAAATCGTGCTTGTTTTCGGCATATGTCGGTGAGCCAGAGGCAGGGAGGTGTAGAGTTTATTGTTTATGCCAAAAACTGGCAGCTCTAACCCAGAGCAGAGCACATTAAATAAACAAATCAACAGATGCCAAGTTAATAAAAACAATTGTACTACTCATTCGAGAAGTATAGATGCCCTTGCAACTGATCAAGAAACCATATTGTTATATGGAAACTAAAAACAATTTGTGTGTCAAGTGCAAAAAGAACAGTTACTAAATTTAATATCGTCGCAATTATCTGATAACAAATTTATATAATTGCAGTATCTGTTTCCACGAACATGTTATTAATAAAGTGAAGAAATTGGATCCAACATGTTATTTGCTTATTAAAAATAATAAACAAATTCCGTTTTATTTTTCAGAGAACAACAAATACAATATAAGCATTTGTCAAATACCAGACGGATCAAATTGCTGTTTCAAGGGCAGTCAAGTAATAATTCCCATTTTGCGCATATTTCAAACTGATCTTAAGCTGAGAATTTTAAACGATAACAATTTAAACAACGCCTGGATTATGCATGTAGATCTGTGCATCTATTTACATAAATAATAAATGGGTAATAAGCAACATTTTTGCTTAATTCTTTACAGTAGTTTTCTTAGCCCGTGGAGAACCGAATAATTTCAGCCAGTTTTTCGATTGCGACTTGGAGTACAATTCTTGTAGAAAATAAATTTTAAAATCGACCGTTGCTGTTCTGGAAAACTTTGAAGCAAATTCCTTAATTGTTTATTACTAATTTCAATCAATCGATTTTTATGTTAATACATATGTATGTACATACATACATGTGTATAGTCCGTTCAGCGAATGTTAAAGTCTGGGGCGTGCTATAAATTCGCATACATTGTACAGCAGAGGGTGGCCCTCTCAGGCCCACCCAAAAGCCAATTGGCGTAAGTTTGCTTTCAATAATCTTTTTATGGTTGCACACAAATTGGCTGTGACAGCGGCGGGGGCAGCAACGTGCTCGGCGGCAGCATTACTGGCAGATAAGAATGTCGACGCCGGGCAATAAAACCACCAAAAATTAACGGACAAAGCAAAGCGGGCACAATACCAAATATACAAACACACACACACACACACACACATGTTCATATGCATGTACATAGATAGCAATTCGTGCGCAATAAAATCAACAACAAAACAAAGGCAATAGTCGCTAAAGCGAGACAGCTTGAGTTTGGAGCAGAGCAACGCAGCGCAGAGAACAGATCCCAAGTGAGAAATGCGAATGCGCGTGCGAATCGCAAACATGCGCGCGTAACTCCCAATAAATCGCTGCTAAATACACTGTTCAAGCATTTTTTTTTTTGTTCGTGTTGTCAATTTCATTATTGCAAAATGAGAATGAGAGGCGCAAGAGGAAACACGAGAACGGCGCAGGAGAGCGTGCAAGGGTAGAGCGGGATCGGTAATTACGCTTTTGGGTCATTGCTGCTGTAGTTTTTTTTTGTAGCTTACGTTAGCACTAACAAAACAAAGATACCCAGCTGCGTCGAGTTTCTAAGAAGCATTTATGTAAGTGCTGAACGTAGGAAAAAACTTTGAACGTCAGCGGAAAGACGCCTAATTAAAGCTACTGCGACTGCGAGAGCAATAGAGCCGAATTCCAATTAGAGGCGTCGAATTCCAATTAGGTGGCCGCGCTGCGTCATCAACGAGCACTACACACAATGACATTTTGCGCAGTCGACGCAGTTGGATTAATTAACCCCGCGCGTGACACATGCGCCAACTAACACACATACATTGCTTTATATTTGATTATACAAATATCTGCTATATATGTCTTACAAATATAAAGGCGCTGCCCAACAATGATTCTGGCTTTCTCCTCACACACACACACACAGAGAGAGAAATAAATGACCCGGAAAACTTACCAACAAATGCCTTAAGTTCATAGTCCACGCCACAGGATTTGCCAACATCGCCCGGTGCCGGCTGCAAGGATACCGAAGCCGGACAATAGGGCGGCACTTCAAAATAAAATGGATGCGCATTGGGTCCCAGCTTCTTAATGAGCCGCTCCTGCAATCTTGTCATGGGCCGTTCCATTGTCATAGGCGGATAGATTTGCTCGTGAGCCAAATACAAATCCTTGCGAAATGTTAGGCCCAGCACATCCAGATCTTCGCGTCCATATCGAAATGCAGCCAGCACTTGGCCAAACACTTTGCGATCCTTCACATACTCTGGATCAATAAAGACAACGCCATCAATTGGATCCACATGCGTGACATGATCCACAAAGTCGCGCTTGCCCAAATAGACTGTGATTTTGCCATTTGATGAGCTCTTTTTGAACACCCGCGTCGCCTGCCTGCGTGAGCTGGCATCGCCGCCAAGCTCATCGAGGTTGCCACCTCCTCCGCTACCACCGTTGCCTCCGCTGCCAGCACTGCCGGCTGTTGTGGCATTCGCCGTGGAGCCACCACCACTGCCGTTGCCGTTGCCATTGCCCGTCGATCCAGCACCGCTTCCGTTCGTGTTAGCGCTCAGTGTGTTCATTGTCGTCGTCGCCGTCACCGTCAACGTCGTTCTGGACGTTCTGCTGCTGCTGCTGTTACTGACTCTGTCTCTGCTGCTGTTGGTTCTGCTGCGTTGGTGTTTGTAAACGCTGCTGCTCACTGTGTGCCGCCACTGCTTCTGCTGTCTATTGGCTCGCACGCTCTCTTTATTGTTTTTAAGCACCTTTTAATAACAAATACGTGTGTAATTTAATTTTTTTTTATGTATACTTAATGAGCAACAGCGCCACACAACTTTTTTCTGTCGCCATCTAGTGTGTTTAGTGCTGCATAATGCATAAATGAACTAGTTCGTTTGGTCACTGAACAACACTACCACAGCGTTGCCACCTATGGATAATATGGGTATTTTTGGGCTTGCTCAGTTCAGTCACACTCTTCCCCAATTCTTTTCCACGTGCATTTGACCATACCGAAGCACGCGTTTTTCACAAATTGACGTTTATTTTAAAAGAAACTCATCAAAATGGCACAAAGGAAGCAGGCTAACAAGAAATCCGCGGGCAACAACAAGCGCGGCCCCAAGGCAAAACAGGTTGAAGAGGAGAAGCCTGAAATGGAGGTAGACGCCAGCGATGACGACTCTGACGCTGATGAGGAGCAGAATGGCGTCAACTTTAACGATGGCAGCGATTCTGAGGTGTGTTAAAATCAAATGTAAAATATGTACGCAGTTATATCAAATCAACCGGCTATTCTTCTAACTTAGGCGGAAGGTGCATCAGAGGCTGAGGAAGCAGAAGATGATGATGAAGAGGAAGACGAAGATGAGGATGAGGACACAGTCGAACCTGGCGAGATATCAAAGAGCGCAAAATCCACCGGGGAATCTGATGAAGAGGACGATCAGGATGCCGATTCCGATGAGGAGCCCGATGAAGCACCAATTGGCAAGCAGAGCAAAAAAGCAGAGACACCCCAAAAGGGCGGCATACCAAAAGTTATCGTGGGCCGTATCCCACCCGAAACACCCAAGGAGCAGCTATTGTTCGTAAGCAATATACCACAAGGTAGGTACAATAATGCCGAGAAGATTTTTAAAGTTTTTAACCTCAGTTTGTATACCCGTTTATAAAAAACATATTTAAATGCGTGGTTTATGTTTTGCAGAATACAAACACATTGATATGATTGCCTTGTTTGCGAAATTTGGACCAATTGCCGTAGTTAATCGCATTAAGTCAAAGGCTGGCGGCAACAACCTTGTCATTGCCTTTGAGTCTGCCGAAGCCGTTAATGCCGCACTTGCTGCCAAGGAGAAGGCACTGACGCTCAATGACCAGGTCGTAAACGTGTCTCGTCCAATAAACAAGGGTGACTTCTCCGATCGCACTGTTGCTGTGGGACTGATTGGAGCCAATGCCACTAAGGAACAAATTTCTGAGCATTTTAAGGGCTGTGGTGCTATTGAGGCTATTAACTTTTCTAACAATCGTTTGTTGCCCCACGCATACGTTCGGTTCGTTTCGGTGAGCTCGGTACCCAAGGCTCTTAAATTGCACGACAGTGAGTTCCAGTCGCGCTTCATCACAGTTCGTGAAGACTCGTACAGAAACAATGACTTGAAATCACCAGAATGCACATTGATCATCGCTAACACAGGCAATTATGATCACTTCAAATCAGAAACAATTGAAAAGATCTTTAAGAAGCACGGCGAAATTATAGACCTTGATACAGTTTGCACAAAGGCCGTTTTGGGCTTTGTTACCTACAAAACTGCCGAGCAGTCCGAAAAGGCGCTTAAGCAGTTAAATGGCAAGACTTTCGGCGATCTGGAGATTAAAGTGGAAGCGTACCGTTACAGCTCCAGTGGGCGCACCATTCGGGTAACAAACTTAGCACCAGGTGCGTTTATTAAACAATTTTAAAAGGTGTAACATTTACTAATTTATTAAGTTCTTTGGTTTAGGCGTTGAAGAGGAGGATCTTAATGAGCTGTTCAAGAAAGCGGGAGAAATTGAGAGCATCCTAAAGATGCCCTATAGGGCAGTTATCAAATTCACCACCGACGATGCCTTCTGCAAATCCTTCCTGTTTAACGAGCGGATGATTAAAGGTCAACCTATCTTCTTGGAGCCAAACTCTGCACTAAAGCATAAATTGACCCAGAAGAAAAATGCACATAAACCCCAGCAATTCTATGGAAAGCGTGCTGCTCCTAATGCATCAAATGCACCTCCGGCAAAATTTAAGAAATTCAGCAACAGCAATAACAACAACACCAATCAGAAGAACAAGCCCTTCAACAAACGCCCAGAACAGGGCAACGGCTTCACGCCGAAACCATTTAAGAAGGCCAACAAGGTCTAATCTTTTTGTTTTGCCGCCTAATATCCTAGTCTTAAGTTAAAAAAAAAAAAACAAACAAAAAATGTACCCACATCCCAATGCAACAACAGACAGTGCATTGATTAAAGTTTTATAAGCTGGCAATATGTGTCTGCGCCTATTCAAGAATTGTATTTGAATATTTTACAATATGCTAATAAAGCTGAGTATCACTAATTGTTAACATTTGTCGGCAAACGCGCTTTTGCTCAACAATTTGGATGCCTTTATGGGCAGCGGCGCAGCCCCAAATAAAAACTTGTAAGGCCCAACGAGAATAAATTGCGAATTTCCAACACGTACCAGCCAAAAAGAGAAGAAAATAAAAACCTGAATGTGAATGTGTGCTTTGAGTGTTTGTGTTTAGCCACTTGGAGTGCCTGCTGCCGGCTCGGCTCCCATTGGCACATGATTCATTACACTTTGTGCACACTGTGTCGTCGCTCGAGTGATTCATGCTAGCCCATGCCAACCGATTTCACACGCAAACACACTTCCATTTCTCTTTCTCCAATATGCATGGCGGCGCTCCCATTGCACCGTCGTCGTCATCGTCCTCGCATCTTGGCTCATCCTCCATTGCGCACAATGCAAATGAACAATGGCGTCGGGTCAACCGCTGGGGGCGCGCCTGGGTCACTAGCCATAACGAGCGCCATTTGGGGCACCGCTCCTTCCAGCTGTGGCGATGATAACACAAATGCGCTCCCAACTTTATGAGCTAATTGCAGGAACATACTTGACTAATTGCAATTAGTAATTACCAGCAGCTAATTTTGTGCAAAACCGCTTGGGAGTAAATAATTAATAAAGGGAATAATAGTTATAAATTATAATTTTAACGCCTCGACAGATAATAATTATTAACGGTTGGTTAAATCTATATCTAAAGAATATAGAAGCAGTATAGATTAAACTTTTCATTCAAGATCCAATTTATATTTTTTAAATGTTAAATGCTCCTAAAATTAAAATTAAGCATTTCCCAGTTATAATGTTCCTCGGTGGCCGGCAATTTTTGATCGCCTTGATTCTACAGGTAATTCCTATTATAATAAACTCCTTATTATGAAGGTCTGTTAAATACAATAAAAAAATGTTCAAACATTCTATTTTAAGTTCAAGCCTTCAAAATAAAGAAGTTCTTGATTCTACCGGTTATTCCTATTATAAATAATGTAATCATTATTATAAGAGTCTGTTCAATATAAATTATTTTAAAAATTATTAATCTTTTTTTTTCAAAAGAAACGAACTTCTATAAACTTTTCATTAAGACGACCAGTTGTCCATCTATGCTACTTAATATAATTAAATAAAGTTAAAATAAAAGTCTTTAAAATGTAGTAGTTAAGTCGGGGTCAAGAGATTGAACTCATACATTATAGAATATTACTTACTATTTTTTTAATATTTTTTTTTTGCTGGGAATAATTTATGAAACTATGAATTAATTGTTTTTAACTAAACGATATTCGAAATTTGGTATTCATAGTAAAATATTTTCTCAAACCTTGAAAATAAGAGTAACTTTTATGTACATAAAAATGCTTTACACAGCAGAGTACAAAAATATTCGTACTAAGATTTACCTTTAAATCGCACTTAAGTTAAGAGCTGTAAATTGGAATCCAAAAATAATTTTCACTGCACCGAAAATGACAAATGGCAGCTGTCAACGGTTTTTTCATAATTTGAAGGTAATTACGATTAATCTCCAGTAATCCACATACATACATATGTACGTAAACCTGGATGTTATATGTACATATATCTGGAAGCCTTGGCAAATCCGTATGTAAACCCTCTGAATTAACACAAAGAAATGAGAATATTCCAGTCTGGAGTTGATTTCGTATATTTAACATTTATTGGTAATAAATTTGTTTGCAAATATCTGTTCATTTCAATTGGTTTATCCATTTGTTACTACACGTTCACAATATGTACTTGTTGACTTGATATTTGATGTATGTATTTATTGGTATATGATGTATATATATGTAAATGCATGCATTTCTTTAGCTTGTATATTTTTCTTTTGGTAATATGTATGTTTATTTTGATAATATTAGTTTTGTTTGGTTTTTTTTTCAACTTGTCGTTATCATATATATTTAATATTTGTATGGATAAATAACTGAACTACGCATACAAATAGTACGTATGTTTGTTTGTTTTCCTGCAAATCATTTTATATAAATGTGTAAAATATGTTAGTTGTTAGTTAAATGCGCTCTATGGCCAATAATGCAATGCAGGAAGAAAAGCCAACAAACGGTAACCAGAGCCAGAGCCAGACCCTGCCCTAACCCTCCACAGCAGCTGTTGGTCAATGAATCACTTGGATCAGTCTCTCTCTCTACGGAGCTTGGCGGGGTCTGTGCCAAGTCAAGCCTAACAAATTACGGCCGTGTGTTTGCAGGGCGGGGGGGTTGTCAAAGTCGGTCGGTCTGCAACTCTATTAGTCATTTTGAATTGGTTTGTCCATATCCATATTTAGCAATAAATATAATTATAATTTAGCTTACGCTTTAAGTTAGCAATTTACTTATAATAAGGCAAACGAAAGTGAAGGGCACTGGGGCGGGATTATGCAAACCATAACGCAAATTGAATAACTAACTAAATACGATTATTATGTATTCAAGCAGGCATACATACATACATATATATATATATGTATATATATACCGTAATCGTAGCACTAAGCGTTGGGCATGCAGACGCATTGTATATTTGATTTATTGTATATATAGGCAAACTTTCAAATCTAGCAACTTAACATCTAAAAATGGGTCCATTTCTGGTTGAGTTTTTAACTTTTACAAAAAAGCAGGCAAAATCGGTTTCTCAATAAATTCGAATCGTTGACGCTTTGGTAATTCTCTCGCCTTCATCTCACAAAATTCAATCAATTCAATGGGTTTTAAAGCACTTGTTTGCAAATAAATAAAAATTATAGGACTTACTTAAAATAAAACAAAATAAAAAGATTTGTATAAATGTTGTCGTTTTTTTTTTGAGATTTTTTTTCTTGTATTTTTTTTTTCGTTTTTAATTTTTTTAATATGTAATATCGTTTTAAACATAAAAGTATAGAGTGTGCAAAAGTTACATTAAATGTTCTGCTTGTGCTTGTTGTTCGCGCTGCATAATTTACAAATTAAAAATTAATAATACAATACAAATCAAATTGTGTGTTGCCGTGTGTTGCGGAAATGTGTTCAAAATAACAAAACAAAAATAAAATGAATATTTCTTATTTTCTTTTCACAAAACACTGGGGTATATAAAGAGCTGCGTCGTACACCACACTACAAATTTGCGTTTCGTATAAGTTGTGTTAAGATTTTCTTTTTTTTTCCCTTTTAAGTAAATTTGAGGAACGTTTATATGTATGCTGCGTATACGTGTGTTGGGTGTGTGTGTGTGTGTGTGTGTTTGGGAGTGCACTTAAAGGAAGCACCCAAATGTTGACAGTAAAAAACACATAAATTCTAGAATATTCAAAGTTTTTTTTATAGCGCACCGTGGTTTATAATCCAACATTTTGCTGACCAAATTTTTGACAGCTGCGCAAATGTTTCATCATTTTTGTTGATTTTTTTTTTCTTTCTTTATGGATTAGTTCTGATATATCAAATATTATGTGTTAGAATTCCAACTACGAGCTACATTTATATGCGGTTGTATTTGGAAAGGGAGGCATACGTGTAAAAAACTGGACGCTCCACTGAGCCACAACTTGGAAATGGGGGGAGGATGAGGAGGATGAGGAGGAGGAGTAGGAGGTAGAGTGGAGTGGAGGAAGGAGTTCGAAAATTTCGCAGTTCGCTTTTCATGCGCAAAATACTTTTTCATAATATGTTTATAATATTAGTAAAGTAGTTTTTATTTTTCTCGATATATTTTATCAACTCATCTTCGGCTGCAGCTTGGCCCGCCTAGAAATCTAGCAGTGCCACCTCCGGATTTTGCTGCTGTGTCTCCACATTGGGCAGCGCCTCTTGCGCCGTCTCCAGAGCATCGTGCAAGCCATTTCCATTCTGTTCCAGTTCGTTTATGCCATTGGCACCAGCAGTTGGCTCAGTCTCGGCTGCTGGCGGTGCTTCTGCTGCTGCGGCGCCGGCTACTGCTGTTGCCTTGGCCGGTGTGGTGCCTGTTGTGGGTCGCTTGATTTTCATGCCAGCAGCTGGTGATGTTTTAGCGGTTTCTTTGGCTTTCGGTTTCAACGGCGAGCTGCTGGAAGCATTCTTTAGCGGCGACGACTTGCGCTGGGCGACGCCAGCACCGCTGCTCGCGGACAGCTGGGTGCGGCGCGTGCTGCTGGTGCTGCCAACTGGCGCCGAGTGTGTAAACTTGGGCGCCGGACGCGCCGTAAAATTCTTTGTAATGGTCGTTGTTGTTGTTGTAGTCGTGTTGCTGCCGGAGCTGCCGTTGGCTGCGGCCGATCTGATGCGAGTGCTGCTGGTACTGGTGCTGGTAGTTGTGCTGGGCTTGGACGCGCCATTGGCCAGCGGTTTAGTGGGACTGCGCGTTCCCGACAAAGAGCCAGTGGCTGGCGCCGTTTTGCGCAGCGTCGAAGACAAAGTGCTGCGTGGCGAGAGCGCCTTCGGCTTGGCAGCCAATGTGGAGCCAGTGCTGCTGCTCGTGGTGGCCGACTGACTGGCCGTCACCTGCAGGCGCGACTTGGTGGCTGTGGCCGTGGCCGTGCCTGTTGCTGTTGTGCCATTGCTGCTCGTGCTGGTTGCCGACTTGCGAACTGTGCTTGTGGAGCTGGTGGTGCTCCGTGCGGCGGCTGTTGTTGCCGGCTTGGCAGCGGTCTTGCTCAGGCTGCTGGCACTGGTCTTACTGACCGGTGCTGTGCCTGGGCGTGCGCCGGCCAACGTGCTGCTAGTGGAACGCGGTGCCGGCTTTCCAGCTGCATTGCTTGCGGTCAGCGGCTTGCGTGCGGTTGCGCTGCCCGTCTTGGCTGCAGTTGTTGTGGTTGTTGTTGTTGCTGAGGCTGTTGTTGTCGAAGAGCCTGTCTTGGCTGCGCCAGCAGCCGGAGCGGTGCGTGGGCGTGTTGCGGCCGGTTTGGGCACAGGAGCTGCAGTGGTGCCCACTGTGGTCCTCTTGGTAATTGCGGCGGGCGACGGTTTCGCCTTGCCTGCTGCGCCAGTTGCTGTAGTTGT